CCGGCGTGGCCGGCGCGGGGCGCGCGCTTGGGCAGCGGGGCCCTCACGGGGCATCTCTCCAGCTGCCCAAGCCAGGTTTGTCCAGTTGCCATGGAAACCGGCTGGCTCTCGGGGCCTGGAGCGGCCCTGGGAGGGCGGGACCCGAAGGCGAGCCACGAGGATGAGGGTGGCCCAGCCTTCGGGTTCCAAGGGATCTCTGCGGCCACCGCCCCCTGCGATCCTTGGACCTTGACCCTCCAAACTAGAGGACCCCGGGGCTTCGTCTTCCTGGTTGTCTTCTTGGAGGCGGGTCTGGCGGCGCCGGCGCCGCGGGGGAGCAGTGCGCAGGGGTCCAAAACCCCCTCCGGGCTCGGCGCGGCATCTCCCCCCCACCCCGCCCACAGCCTCTCCTGGTTTTCCTGTTCGCACAGCAGCGCGTTCCCCACTCGTGTGCCAGCCGAAAGCATTGTTTCCCAGCTATTTCTGTACCACTTCCAGCCCAGGCTACAAACACCGCATCTAAGAAAACAGATGCTGAGCTGGAGCTCCTGGGGGCCCCGCGGAAGAGACCGGCTTCTTTCCCATCAGGGAGCCGGTTGGTGGAGCCCTGGGAGCTGCAGAGCCTCGGCCTCAGGCCCCAGCACCCTGCCAAGTGTTTGGTTAATCTGAATTGCCCAGAAGAATTTTCCAAGTCTCCTGTGATTACAGGTGTCTCCGGTTAGCTGGGGTCACCTCTTGTGCAAGCTGGGGTCACCTCTTGTGCATTCCAGAGAGGTGCCAGTCCTTCCTCTCCAGTGTCGGAAAAAGTCCCCTCTCAAGAGGCTGGCGTGTCAGAATTAAATCTGATTAAATTATTTCGTCTTTAGAAGCATCGCGGTGGCTGGCGCTGTCAAGATAGGATTTATGGACGGTGGGAATAAAGCAGAGCCTGCAAGTCTGCTCCCTTCCTTTCCTGTCCTGGTGGAAACTAATGGATTCCACATTGCAGTGCTGGATCGGCCACGTCCTCCGCCCATTTTGTCAGCCTCGCACTGACCTCACTGCGCTCGCTGGTGTGAATCGAGCTTGTTTTCGTCAGAACTTGGACTCTTCCCTGAGAACGAGAGGAAAACATTCTCTAAGAGAAGCAGCAGCCAGCGTCCTACCCCCTTGGGCCCGTGTTCCCCCAAGTATTTGTGTGAAAGAGGAGGGAAGTAGCAGAAAAGGAACAGGCAGGTCCTGCCTCCCCCAAACCAGAGCTGGCTCCCCAGGGCGTGGCCTGCTCTGTGGGGTATTCCTGCATTCTCGCCCTTTCCGAAAAAAAAAAAAAACGGTCCATCCCATTGTGACAAACAAGCTGTATTCTGCATTCGGTGACTGTGAAGGACGGTGATGAGTGGACAGGTGACTGGCAGTAGTGACTCTCTGAAAGTCGCCAGAGAGAATGACCGTAAGGAGAAAAGAGCTTCCTGATGAAACAGATCGGGGTCTGTGTTTACTGGGAATTATCGAGGCTTCAGGAGTTACTGAGAAGGCGCGAAGCTCGTTCTGCCTGTTGTTTCTGCTCTTCTTTCGCGATACTGCACACTCTGCCTCAGGATCTGGCACAGGGGACCGCTGAAAACGAGACACGGGCCCTCACTCCCAGGGCCCCGGGAGGGACTAGCAGTTGTGTATTTGTGATTTTCGATTACTTTCTTATTAGAGCAGAATTGTATACGCTTCAGACCTTACCGACTGAGTGCAAAATAGCAGCTCCTGTCCCCTTGTGCCTGTGGCCTTCTGAGCGCTTGTGTTCACTTCATTGCTTTTCTGTGACACGGGGGTCTTTCGGCTTAGACACAGATTCCGGGCTTTCTGCATTGTATTTAAATCTGCGTTCAGACGTCATCTCGAAAGGCAGAGGTTTCTGAGCCACAGCTGCCGCTTTGGGTTTGGGTCGCGAGCCTGGGGCTCTGCTTGAAAAGGCCAGGTGAGGGGACTGTTTGTGGAGGGGTCAGGTCCTCGGAACAAGGGGTGTCCCGGGAGGCACGTGTGAGCAGTTTCAGAGGCAGGTGGTGTGCGTTTCAGAGGCTCGGGCTGGAACCAGCAGTGGCGTGAGCAGTGGTGTGCACAGCCACGCAGTCGTCACGTGCGTCCTCTCCGATGCTGTGCTGTAAATTAAATTGAAGCCTGTCTGTTGAAGGCCCACAAGGGGAAGCCACAGCCAGCGGCGGTCCCCGAGGATTTGGCAGGGAGACTTGTCACACTTTTCTCACGAAGCCTTGTCCGTGTTTATTCCTTTACAGCTTCACTCCCTCGAGGCCCTCGTTCGACTTGAGACACCCACATCTTCGGAAAGCCACTTCGCAGCACAGGCTTCGCGGCGGTCAAGCGTGAACACCAGGCTGTCGGATCAGGGGGCTGTCTCGAACCCCCAAAAGGCAAAGGTCAGTGTCGGAACCCTGGTTTTGGTGCGCGAAGCCATCGGAAGTATTTGGGAGAGTTCGCGGTCCTCTGACGGACAGGCCAGTTCTAGAGCAGAGGAAGGCGGGCCTGCTTTTCAGCCTCCAGTCATGGAGCCCTGGAGGGAGGGACCTGGGCAAGTCCCAGCCGGGCCTGGGTGGACAGCCAGAACAAAGCCCAGGTCATAGTGGCAGTACCACAGCTCCGGATGGCTGCCCTGTGGGGGCGCCTCGGGGTCAGTGTGGGCCCTTTGCTTTGGGGGCTCCCTAGTGCCTTCTCCTGCCCTGAGCGGTCACCTTCATGCCCCAAAAAGCCCTTTTCAGCGCCTGCAGAGCCACGAGTGAGTGGGGACTGAACGTGTTGACTTCAGCTGGGTTTAATGTCACAGTGGCACGTGCCCAGTGCTGCCAGGTCCTCACTGGGACCTGGACACTGTTTCCAGAGGCTTCTAGGAAATGGGCTTTACTCCTTCGCCTGTCTGCTTTGTCTCTGGTGAGGACACAGCAGAGAAGTAGGGTGCTGTAGTTAGGCGACGTGCCGTGTTCAGCACGCCGTCGGCTTGGTGTAGAGCTTTGTGTTTACGAAGCAGACATCTTCCTGGCCACGCCCTCTGTTCCCACAGAGCTCTGGGGGAGTCCCATAAACTGGCTATTTAGAATCTAGGCCCTGGGGGCACAAAGTGCACTAGACTGAGGACTGTGTGATTTGCCGAAGCGTCCAGGAGCCTTTTCCCAATTTCCCCACCACGACGCCATCTGTGGCCTGGACAGGGCCCGGGTACCAGGCCCTGCATTGCAGTGACGCCTCCCCCGGTCTGGAAGAGCCCTTTCGTGTCCTCTGGGGTTGGTGGACTTTCTGCTGTCCCAGGGACGTGGCTCCTCCAGGCCAGGGCCCGCAGTTGAGGGCCAGCGTGCTGGGGTCTGTGTTTGCAACTCGGATCGCTCTCTGCCCTGTTTGCAGGGCTGCGGCTGGCCTCTCCCCTGCCGCTGGCCTCTCCCCTGCCGCACCTGGGTTCCAGCAGGGTGTTATGGGCGGGCGCGGTCCGTCGGGTGTGGTTTATGGCTTTTCTTTGGGTGCGTGTGGTAGGTGGTGGGCCGCCTCGCAGAGACAGGGCCCTGCCAAGGTTCCGCCCCGCATGCAGCTTGTGCCCACGCAGCCGCACTGTGTCCTGGCTGCCTCCCGCCTCGGGGACCCTGCAGCACAGCGTGTCTTACCTTTTGTGACCTCATTTTTCTCTCTAGCAGTGGTTTTCCTCGAAGGGCACTTCAGCCCATTCATACCTGCTTCGTTCCCTGGCATCCCCACTGTCTTCAGCCATGTCCTCGCTTGTGCTCTGTGGGGACTGGCCAAGGGTGGCATGTCTGCTGCTTCCATTGGGCACTGGCCCCGGGCGGCCCGTTAAGTTGGTTAAAGTTCATGTGCGCCGCTTTGCCCTTGGGACTCCTGATGGGCGATGCTGATCCCCTCTGCTTCCTCCCAGGACACGGCCTTTTCCCCACCGCCAGCTGAACCCGCAGCCCTCGCCCATGAAGACCGGCCCGCCATGTTTTATGGGACGCACTTCATCATGTCCCCACCCACCAAGAGCAAGCTGAAGCGGCAGGGCCAGCTGCTGTCCAGTGTGCTGTCCCGGACCCTGAGCCACAAATACCGTGACCTGGACGCCACCGGCGATGACCCCGCAGAGCTCTCCACCCAGCTCTCAGTGCCCGGGGTCCTGAAGGTGTTCGGGGACAGCGTCCGCACAGGCACCCACTACAAGAGTGTGCTGGCCAGCAGCACGTCCAGCGCGCAGGAGCTGGTGAAGGAGGCCCTGGAGCGCTACGCCGTGAGCCCCGAGTGCGCCCGCCAGTACGTGCTGTGCGACGTGGTGGGCCAGGCTGGCGACGCCGGGCAGCAGTGGCGGGCCGAGTGCTTTCGGGTGTTTGGGGACAACGAGAAGCCCCTCTTGATCCAGGAATTGTGGAAACCGCGAGAAGGCTTGTCCCGGAGGTTTGAGCTGAGAAAGAGGTCCGACGTGGAAGAGCTGGCAGCCAGGGATGTGGACACCGTGACAGCAGGTGAGGAGGGGGTGACGGAGAGGAGCGGGGCCGGTCACGGGGGTGACGGAGGTGGGCGGGGACTGGTTAGCGGGGTGACGGGGTAGGGGGCAGGGGCCGGTCAGGAGAGGGCGGAGAGGCACAAGGCTGGCTGCTCGGGAAGGAAAGTGACCAAGTGTGTTTGTGCTGAAGGAGGGTGGCGGGCCGAGAGCCCCTGCCACATGCTTGGGGACTTCTTAAGTTTGCCACTTGCGCCCCGGCCGTCTCGAGACTGGTGTGTCTGTGCTGGAGGACGCCAGCTGGTGTTCAGTGGCTCCTGGTGCATCGTGCAGTGCCGTGATGCACTCCTTGCCCTACACGGGTTTGGTCCATGTCCCTGGCAGCCGTGTCATTAGCTGCAGAGGGCACCGTGTCCACCGCGGTGCAGGTGCCTTACAGAAAGTCCCGCAGTGCCCAGGGCACTGGGTGGCTCTTGGGGGCAGTCCAGGGACGAGATGGAGGAGGCGGAGTGCGTCTGGGTGTGCATGGGGCTGTGGGCTCTGGGCGGGGGGAGGCCCTGCCCAGAAGGTCTCGGTCCATCTGAGGTGCCAGGAGGTGGGCAGCTCTGATCCCCCGCCCCAGGGCCTGTGGGACGCTGCTCTGTGTCTGGCTGTTTTTCACTTGGTGGAAAGAATTGATTATCTTAATGGGTAAGTGAAACCAAAAATAACTCTTTTTTAAATGTCAAAAGACTCTTAAATGTATCTCAGATCATATTTGACTTCTTCTTAGTTTCCTGGAGAAAATGGTGGCTTTACACAAGCGAGGGGACTTGTCTGACATGGCCCAGAGTGGCAGGTGGCTAATGGGCTCGGGAGATGGGTCATCGGGTCCACAATTCTCAGGGTGGGGGGGTCTTTGAGCCTTGCGGGCGAGTTGTCGCTGAGCTCTCCTCCAGGTCTGCCTCTGGTGCGAGTGTGGAGCCCGCATTGCACCCCGAGTGTGTGAAGGAGGTGCTGTTGGGGGGACTCCGGAGTCCCTTGGGCCTGAGCGGGACCGTATCGCACAGCTGCAGTGGGGCCACGGCTGGCGTGGGGCAGCAGCGGCCCCGTTGCCTCAGGCAAATCGCTTCACCCCTTGGGTCTGTGTCCCGGTCGGGGAGTGGGGCATGGCGGTCACGGTCACGGGGCTTGGGAGGCCCACGCAGCGCAGAGCCGGCCCAGTGCTCAGAAGCCCCGCCGCGTGGGGTCATTATCGTCAGAGCCTCCTGCATGCCGCAAGCAGCGTATTCCGGCCTCACGGTGGGCCGTGCCCAGGACGGGGGCGGGGGTCCTCCGACAGGGGCAGGATTTTGTCACTGACGCCGTTAGGTTCTGGTACTTGGGATGATAAAGAGAGGGCCCGCGTGTAGCGATGTCACTGCCGTTTGTACGGCTCCTCGGACCAGCCCCGGCTCCACGGGCCGGCTTCGGGCATGTGCTGGTCCGTGCTGGCCCTCCTCGCCATGCTCCAGAGGACTCTGGGCCCTTCTTCTCTCATTCTGGAAGATGTGAGGTGGGCCAGGCTGCAAGGGGCTGCTGGTGGAGGGGCCAGCATTCAGCTCAAGGCCACTGTCCTGCCCATGTTTTCTGTGCTGGATGGAGAGGGAAGAGCTCGCGGCGGGGCCAGCCTGTGCTGAAGGCCAGTGGGCCCTGGGGACCTGTGTGGGGCCTGGGGAACCCTGCTCCATGCCGCACAGGCGCTTCCTGGAGGGGGCTGCGGGGCCCCTCGCCTCCTGGGGGAAGGGAGACTGCCTCCCGCTCACCATCCCCTTCTAGGCCATTCCTTTCACAGTCGTTGAGGTAAGAGAAGGCGTCGCACAGCGGCTATTCAACTCGGTGGTGGCTCTGCAGAGCCTTTCACATAAAGAGTCTATTGAATGGGCCGGTGTCACTGACACAGTTCTCTGGTGGTAGGTGGCTTGTGTTACCTGCCCGGAGCAGGCCTCCTGCACTCCAGGGAGGCGGCCTTCCTTGCTGGCCTCCCACTCAGGGTGTGCCTTCCAGCCTGGCTGTCCCCCTCGCTGGTGACAGTAAAGACGGCGCAGTGATCGAGATGGTGTCCTAGGGCAGGCACGCTTGCTTCTGGCTTTAGAAACATGGACGGGGCTAGCCTGGACCAGCTGAGGACAGCCTGGGGACAGGGCTCAGCCCTGCTCCAAAGCCTGACCGGTGTCCAGACCCTTTGAGTCAGTGTCTCGGTTCGGTGATTCTGATGGCGCGTGGGTACGTGGACGCAGAAGCGTGCACACATCCTGCACGCGCGCACGCGCACACGCACACGCACTCTGGACTGCTCCCCCGCGCGGAGCGTTGGCTGCAGGCGGCCTTCCACACGGCCCTGACTTTCTCGCTGTCCCGCGGAAGTATGGGGCTGGGGAGGCCGAGCCACGATCCGTCCCTTCTTCCTGAGACCTGCTCGCTGGCAGATAAAGTGGCCCAGCGTCCCCCCTGCCACCCTCACCAACATGGAGAACCATGGAGACACTCAGAGTCACCGTGATGTGGTGGCAAGGGATGAAGGGGTGCTGGCCGAAGTGGTGGCTGCACCGTTGGACAAGCAAGGGTCTCGGGCTCATCTCTCTGCCCTCTGAGCAGCGAGCGGTCTTGCCTGGCATCTAACACCTGTGGTCGTGTCCCCTGCCTTACGTGCCCCCAGGGAAGGGGCTCCTTACCTCCTGGTGGCATCTGCGATGAACCCCCAGGATGCTGATGGTGCCGCAGTGCCCGCCTGTCCTGCACAAGGGCCGCCATGTGTGTCATCATGAGGCTGCGTGGTGGCTTTTGCCATGGTAGAATCAACGCCTACAGAAGCGGGGTGTTGAGTGTCGAGTGTCGGGTGTTTAGTGGTGCCCCAGGCACCTGTCCCTAAAACACAGGTGAGGCTGTCTCTCCTGCCCCAGTGAGCAGTTAGTCTGCAGCATCTGGAGAGGTGGTGGGCAAGGGAAGGGACGACCTGCGTGTATGTGTGCGTGCGTGTGTGTGCATGTGTGTGCATGTGTGTGTGTGAGAATTAGGGCTGGTCTTCCCAGGCTTCAGGTTGCTGAGCACTGTCACAGTAATTTCCTCATGCCAGTCATTGTCCCCACAGTAAGAGACTCGCCTGCTTGTCTGAGAGTTGGGCCTGCTGGTTGTACTGGTTTCAGAGCAAGCCTTTAGCTGGAGCAGCGGGGTGTGGGCACTGGGAGGTCACCCAGGCCTGTCTCCTGCACATCAACTGGGATTCCCGGGAGACTCGGGTGGGGAAAGTGGGTGTGCCAGATGCCTCCTCAGGGGCACTGAAATAAGAATCCACCCATTCTCCCTCACTGTTGGCATTGCCACGCTCACGGAGTAACCGCTCAGGCAGTCTGGTGTTTTGTTTTCCATAAATATTGCCTTTTTCCAGCTGCCAGCTTCCCCTGGTTTCCTGAGTATCAACATATTGTGAATCCGCTTTGGGAGGTGTGGGGCGGCTGGCGTAGGTGGGGCCGCAGGGCCGCTGACCGCCTTTTCCCAGAACGCTGGCGTTTAGGACCAGTGCCACGCGGAGAGGGCTCTGGGTCCTGTCACTGAGATAAAGACAATAATCACTTAGGCTCCCTCTGGGGAAGGGTGCCGGCCGGGCCATGTGGTTTTTGTCAGCGGCTTGGGAAGGGCGACAGAAAGGTTTATTTGTGTTTCCAGGACGGAAGCGTGGATTTAGACCGACTTTCTCAGCCTCGGCCCCTTGACATTTGGGGCTGACAGTTCTTTGCTGTGTGCGGGGTGCCTTGTGTGGTGCAGGGTGCTTAGCGGCAGTCCCCCAGACCTCTACCCGCTAGACGCCAGCAGCACCCCTATCAGCTGTGGCAACCAAAAACGTTTGCGGGCATTGCCAGCCCCCCGGGGGCAAACTCACCCTAGTTTGGGGACCAGGGATTGGGACCCCGTAGCCTGGGCCTGGTGTGTCAGCCACACCCAGCGTCTTACCACTGGGACCACTGGGCCACACTGCTGCTCCCGGGGCACGCGCGGGGGACTTGGGGCGCTGTGAGGGCCCAGTATCTGGGGGAGAGTGATGTGCAGGGCTTCGCACGCCTTTCTGTGTGGCCTCGGGCTGCAGAAGCGTGGCGTAGTCCGCTCCGTGGGGGCCGGGCCGCTGCGACTTGAGGTTCCCTCTGCAGGCTGGGCAGTTCAAGGGCCACTGCCACATCAGCCACGGGGCTGTGACTCACTGCCCTTCGAGGGTCTGTGTGGTGTCGGGCACACAGTAGGCGCTCGTTAAAAGCCTGATGAAGAGTAAGCTCCTTTGTAGCCGCGGCTTCTCCATGCAGCCAGGACTCCGGAGCTGCTGTCCGTTTTCTGTGCAGAGGCATTGGGGACAGGGAGGTGGGAGTGTCGTGGCTTCAGCGGCCAGGAACGTGCTGCTCTGGCACCGGCCAGTGTGACCTGCCAGCCTCCCCTTCCTTCCAAGCCCAGGTGGAGTGGCTGGTGGCGGCAGATGTGCCGTCTCTGAGCGACTTTGGGTGTGCGCTTGTTGTCCTACCTCATCATCCATGGACTGACAGACAGGGCCTGAGCTCCTGGCGACAGATAGGGATGTCCAGGCTCCATCTGCTAATTATGCCTCAAATCCTGTCTTCACACATCCTCTACCCTCACTGCGGTTTTGTCCTCTGAATATTTTTCTTCTGCTGTGAATCTGATTTTTAAAAACTCTTATCTCAGTATGGAGGAGGTGATCTGGGTCTTGAGCGAGACTTTCTTTGAGCATATTCTCAATGATAGAATTATTGTGGTTTATTTTATGTGGTTTGGTGAAAGGTAAAACAAACCCCCCTAACTTTTTTCATCAGTCTAGTCTAAAACTAGAAAAATAATTGAACTTAAAAGACGTTTTTGAGGATTTTTAATTCAAAGAGAACATAAAGTTGATGGTTAGTTGCTCACAGCCAGTTTCATCCTTCGATTCACCGCTTAGATTAAAAAATGTCATAGCCTTCAGTTTCAACTAGAGACACAGTGTCAGAAGGAAGCTTAATAGCCTGTTCCTCTGAGCTGGGGGGTACCCACCTGGGCACTCCCCTCCCCCAGGAGACTTATGGCTGCAATATACAAGGGGCCTTTGAAGGGAGATGCCCAGTGTTTAACACAGAAAACACTGGGGATCATAACTGGAGGCATTTTCTCATCTTTGTAGCCAAGAAACTTAAGTTTAATAGATGCCCAAGAAAGAGACATAGAGCCTTGGACCTGTAGAGGTAGGGGGTTGGAACTGAGACCCTCCAAATATAGTCGGAGCCCTCAAAGAGTGACACCTTGAAATGAGAAGATGAACTAGGACGAATCTGCTGCCTGGTAAAAGGACGTGGCAAAGACTTACCTTTCTTGACCTGGGCTCCGGGCGGGGAAAAGAAGACTCTGCCCTAGAATAGAAAACTACTCTTCCTCTCACACGCTTGGTGTTGAAAATCGCACTTACCTATGTGGTCGGGATAATCCCTGGATAAGAAGTTAAGTTACAGTGTACGTGATTTGATAGTGTCCAGGGGCATCTGACAGAAACAAAGGAAATTCCCTCTGGAAGGACTCATCCTTTACTAAGGCATCCCAAGCCTTGCTAGAGATGAGCTCACAGTCCAAAATCACAAGACGCACGAAGCAATGCCAGTCTAAAAGAGTCATAGAAAACAACCAGATTCTCAAGAACATTAGGAATTGGGACCATTAGTTAGAGAGTGTTGAGTGAGTATGTTCAAAATGTTCAAAGAAATTAAAGGTAGGAAGAAAACAAGGATGAACAGAATGCTGTCCAAAAGGGCAGGGAAGATTTGGAAAGGAACGAGATAATGCTTCCAGTAATAAAAATACAAGCATTTAAACGGATACTTCAGTGGTAGCTTAAACAGCATACGAAATACAACTGGCGAGAGAACTGGAGAACTGAGTGACAGCTCTGCCGTTGCCCAGAAAGAAACATGGGGTGAGACACACAGGGCACAGAATGAGAAGGTCTGTCACGTGTCACATGAAGAGACTCGAGTGGTGGAGAGAACATATTGCAAGAATATGCCTGACCGTCTTCCAGAAGTCGTGACATGAAAAGCATGAAATTCAGGAGTCACTGTGTATCTGAAGTAAGATAAATAAAAAGGGATTTATGCCTTGATGCCTAGTGGTGGCATTGCAGGCGTGGAGGGGAAAATAAAGACGGGGACCCCGTTTAAAATGGAGCGGGGAAGGCCCGAGGGGAGCTATCCGCCACTACCGCTCACCTAGGGAGAAGAAACGCTCCTTTGGACAGCAAAGGACACTACCACTTAGGCAGGAGGAAGATTTGTCCTTGCCTAGCGACAGACTCAGCCAACGAGAGGCCGCCTGGATACAGTGATGGGAAGCCACTATACCTCCCGCTCTCCGACGCCCAGTTTCCCCCTGGATGCTTCGTTTATAACAGCCCCTCCCAACTCTCTCATTTTTCTCTCTGGAAGTCCCCCGCCTTTGTCCTCCAGACCTGGCTATGGTTTGCTGTAGTTTGGGTGTCTCTAGTTGTTAATTCCTCTGCCATTCCCCAATAAACTCATCTTTGCTGGTAAAATAACTGGCTATTTTATTTTTAACGTCGACACAGGACACTAAGGGCAGAGATGATTTTTACAGCTGCCAAGAAGAAAAGACAGGCGAGCGGGTTAGCCCCACTGTAGACTAACTTCTCAATAGGAGCCACAGAAGCCAGCAGACATTGGACAGGACCTTCTGAGCATGAGGAAAACGGAACTGCCAGCCTGGAGCTGCAGTCCTGTGCAAACCGCCATCGCGCGCCGGGCCACCGCGAACCGCACAGGAGCCGCGTCCCACGACAGACCCAAAGGCTGGGTCGTAGGCAGAAGGCCACCTGAAGATGCCCCTGGAGAGGCAGTAGATCCGCGGTGTGAGAAGAAGTGGAGGGCAAGAAAACAGACAGTAGGTCTCGGTAAACGTATAAAACGGTGAAAACGAGACCCCCAACCAAGGCGCACCCCGGCCCACCGCCACCAGCCTGAAGCTGGCGGCGGAACCCCTCGAAACTACAACTCCCGTGAGGCTCTGCGCGGCACGCAATCGCCGTGCCGTGCGTGCCGTGCGTGGCCGTTCTAGAACGCCGTGGCGAGGGCCCGGGCGCCATGTTGGGGCCCAGGGGACCGCGGAGAGGCGCTTGAAGCGGCGGGCGAGGAGCGGGAGCGGGTCGGACCTGGGCTGGTAGGAGCCCCGCCCCTCCCGCCTCGGCGGATCATGACCCGGGCGGCGGCCACGGAGGTGGCGGTGGCGGGGGACGTGGCGTGGCGGGGCCAGCGCTAGAGATGATGCCGTTTCCGGTGACAACCCCGGGATCACGGCAGACCCCGCCAGCACCCAAGCACTGTGGCATCTCCTCCCCCATCAGCTTAGCAGCCCCCAGGGAGACAGACTGCATACTGACTCAGAAATTAATCGAGACCCTGAAGCCCTTTGGGGTTTTAGAAGAGGAAGAGGAACTGCAGCGCAGGATTTTAATTTTGGAAAAATTAAATAGTCTGGTAAAGGAATGGATACGAGAAATCAGTGAAAGCAAGAGCCTTCCACCAGCGGTAATTGAAAATGTTGGAGGCAAAATCTTTACCTTCGGCTCTTACAGATTAGGAGTACACACGAAAGGTGCCGACATAGATGCCTTGTGCGTTGCACCGAGACACGTTGACCGAAGCGACTTTTTCACCTCCTTCTATGATAAGTTGAAACTACATGAAGAAGTAAAAGATTTAAGGGCTGTTGAGGAGGCATTTGTGCCAGTTATCAAACTGTGTTTTGATGGGATAGAGATCGATATTTTGTTTGCAAGATTAGCACTGCAGACTATTCCAGAAGATTTGGACCTAAGAGATGACAGTCTGCTTAAAAATTTAGATATTAGATGCATAAGAAGTCTTAACGGTTGCCGGGTAACCGATGAAATCTTACATCTAGTACCAAATATCGACAACTTCAGGTTAACTCTCAGAGCCATCAAATTGTGGGCTAAATGCCACAATATCTATTCCAATATATTAGGTTTCCTCGGAGGTGTTTCCTGGGCTATGTTAGTGGCAAGAACTTGCCAGCTTTATCCAAATGCAGTAGCATCAACTCTTGTACGTAAATTTTTCTTGGTGTTTTCTGAATGGGAATGGCCAAATCCAGTGCTACTGAAAGAGCCTGAAGAACGAAATCTTAATTTGCCTGTGTGGGACCCGAGAGTAAATCCCAGTGATAGATACCATCTCATGCCTATAATTACACCAGCGTACCCACAGCAGAACTCCACATACAACGTGTCTGTTTCAACAAGGACCGTCATGATCGAGGAGTTTAAACAAGGGCTTGCTATCACACACGAGATTTTGCTGAGTAAGGCGGAGTGGTCCAAACTTTTCGAAGCTCCAAGCTTCTTTCAAAAGTACAAGCATTATATTGTACTTCTAGCGAGTGCACCAACAGAGAAACAACATCTAGAGTGGGTGGGTTTGGTGGAATCCAAAATCCGAATCCTGGTTGGAAGCTTGGAGAAGAATGAATTCATTACACTGGCGCATGTGAATCCTCAGTCATTTCCAGCACCCAAAGAAAATCCTGACAAGGAAGAGTTTCGTACGATGTGGGTGATTGGGTTAGTGTTAAAAAAGCCCGAAAATTCTGAAGTTCTCAGTATCGACCTCACCTATGATATCCAGTCTTTCACAGATACAGTTTATAGGCAAGCAATAAATAGTAAGATGTTCGAGATGGATATGAAAATTGCTGCAATGCACTTGAGAAGAAAGGAACTTCATCAGCTGCTACCTAATCACGTGCTTCAGAAAAAGAAAACGCAGTCGACGGAAGATGTCCGATTGACGGCTTTGAACGACAGCAGCCTCGACCTGTCTGCAGACGGTGGAAACAGCATGTCTGTGCCTTCACCTCCTAGCGCTGCGAATACTGGCCCAGTGACCGGCGGAAACGGTCACGCCCCGGCTGTAGTGGCGGCCTCCGGGACCAACGTGCAGGTCATTGAAGTTTCCTCGCAACAGGCAAGCCCCAGTGACAGCCCAGGGGGCGCGTCGAGTGAAGGCGTCCCTCAGACTGCCTCACAGCCAGCCCTCTCCCCACTCCCGAAGCCCGTGATCACCAGAGTCGTTTCTTCAACACTTCTGGTAAATCATCCAGCCCGGCCTTCGGGGAGCGCAGCGACAAACATAGCCAACCCTATAGTAGGAGTCTAGAGGACGTGCTCACGTCAGAGAGAAGACAGGACCGAGGCATCCAACACAGCAGAGGAACCATCTCGCAGAGACAGGTGCAGCTCGATTAAGAGCTGTTCAGATGGGCAGCAGCTTCTCTGTTGGCTTCGTGGGAACATCCGGTGCAACCTTTCCAGTAGCCCTGCTCTCCCTGCAAATCCCATTCCTGTTATCAAGAATTCAATAAAACAGATTGAATTGATAAAAACAAACTCGAGGGTCCATACATAATATCTGTCAACTCAATCTGTGGTCTTCAGATACTAAAGGAGGAGAGTGAAGGGTACCAAGCTAGATGTGACTCCAAGTAGATTTAGGCTCACTTGGTAACTTTCTTTACTGGGGGATCTCGAAGAGAAGTCCAGGTTAGTACGCGAAGCTAGAAGTACGCTCACTCGTGTCAGATTACGAATGTGTCAGCAACAGTTATATTGACCGTTTCGAAGGACCACTTCCCTTAAAGAGAAAATGAGAAAAAACCCTCCAGCTATATTTGTACCTATGACTGATGTCTGGACCGGATTCGTGTTTGATGCGTTGTTGGGAAAAATTTGCAATACAAGTTGGTATCAGATTTTCTTATGTTGATTATGTACTTTATATGTGTTATTAGCGAGTAGAACTCATTTTAGATTTTTCAGCTTGATGAATTTTAGATTTTTTTCTGAAGAGTTCATTAATTTTCGAATTGGATGCCAGTGTAAGTGGTGTACTCTAGGAAAAGCATAAAAGTACAGCTAACTCAGTCCCTATGAGGTAGCGGTAACCCTTTCAAATGAAATGTCAACTCTTAAGGTATATATTTGATATTGAAACAGTAATTAGTACTTTTTTGGTTTTGATGGGACATGATCAAGAAATGATTCACAGTTTAATCTGTAGAATTGTTTATAGTGCATGTGAGCAGAGATCAGACAGCAGACACTGTTTTGGAGCTAACGAAACTCCACATTGTCTCGTCCTTAATTATTTGTCCTAAAACAGAAACGCCTTTTCTTTTCCCCAGCTCTTCTCTGTGCTTGTATGGACAAGGTATGCTTGTATATTGTTTCATAAAAAAAATCCAGAAAGCTCGTATTTTCTTAACCATTATAAAATCTACAATCCTATGGCCACATGTCACAAAACTCTAAATTTTGGTTCCATGGCCAATATTTTAGTAAAACTACTGAAAACAATGCATGTGAAACATGTTACAGTCTTGGATGGCCATCTGATCTCTACGTGGGAGAAATTTTACATACTCTGCAGAATATCTGCTTCCAGAAAGTTAATTTCCAATTTAAACATGTAAGCAAAAGGACATTTTCTCCAAGAATTTTAAGGCAGTTTTTGTTTTTAAATGAGTTACTGAAATTCATCAGTAAATTTTACATCTAGAAACAATAACTTCTAGCAAGCACTTGACATCTAGTCAGCTTTCTACTCTTGTTTGACTCTACACACTATTAGGAATACCTCTAATAAAAAACACACACAAAAATCGCTCCCGGTGGGGCAGAAGGGCACCCCTGCTTAGGAAACATGAGTGACAACAGATGGAGACAAACGGAAACGGTCTTAATCTGGACCCAGCAAACCGAGCAGCTTTCCCCGCAACCGTGATCCTTTCTACCCCATGGGCACTCGTCGTGTAAAACCACAATCTCTTAAACCCCTTGTCTGTCTGTCTAGATTCATTTCCCCAGAGTCGGAGTGTAACCTTTTTCCTTTCGGGCTGCGCAGCAGTCGAGGCTTTCTCACCGCTGCTGTCTGACGTCTCATACGCATTCCCCGCTTCTGCGTCTTTCCCCTGCACAGTCCCCTCACCCTTCACCGCAGCGCGATCGGTGAAGTGTGCACAGCACCTGTGCGTGTTCAGTAGCTGCGGTGTCAGGTTGAAATTGCCAGGCACAAATTCAGTCCTGTCGCTGTGCTTACACGTTGGGGAAAATTGGTTTATTAGATGTTTTATGGAACTGTATTTGTTTTACTAAGCTGGAAACTTGGAATTTTTCGATTCCGGTTTTCATTACCTGAATGTCAGGCTATTTTTTTTTTTTTTCACATGATGTACGTAGCGTCTTGTGACTGGAGTTTGTTTTATAGTATCTGTACTCCTTGTATTTTTCAAGCACTATTTTGAAACCAGATGATGTAATTCTCCCTTAAAAACAATAAAAATAAACAGCAAAGAAATAAGCAAAGGGATTTAAATCTGCCATTAATAGTTCTGATGTTCTTACATTGCTCTGGAGGAGGGAGAAGACATGATGAACTCTGACCGTATTAAATCTAGAATCCACGTTATGTTAGGGGAAAATATGAAAAGATTAGGACTTCAAGTCAATAAAGGTAAAAAATTGGGGTTAAAAAATCTTAATTCAAAAGAAGACAGGAAAGAAGATGGGGGAGTATAGAAAAAATAGTGTAAAAAAGAAAACACAGTCTGAGATGGTGGAAACGAAACCAAACATATCTGTCACTGTAATAAATGGACCAAACTTCCTCACTAAAGGAGATTGTCTGAGTCCATGGAAAAACTAAGTCCAGTCCAGCTGTATGCTATTTTATTTATGAGAGACACACCCAAAACGTAAGACATAAAAGAATGGAAAAAAGATATGCAAATGAAAAGAAACTGTTACATAACTATCATCCAAACAGATTTCAAAGCAAAAATAATTACCAGGGACTAAAGGACCGTTGCATTAACGACAGAAGAAATAACGCACCAGGAAAATGGAACAATTTGAAACGGTTTGCTCCTAGTTAGCCTCAATATAAAATAATGAAGAAAAGATGGACAGAATTGCCCAAAATGTCAATGTCATAGAAGATTTTAAAACAGCTCTTTCGTTAATGATAGCAAAAAGACAAATCAGAAGGGAAATGGTTGGCAGTGGTTGGCAAACTTTCTGTGAAGGGCCAGATAGTGAATACTTCCTGCTCTGTGAGGCTGTAGTGTCTCCATCTCGACTAAAGTGCCTTCTGGAGTGAAAGCAGCCCCAACAATACGGAAACAGATGGCCAGGGCCGGGTTTGTCATGCGTCCCTCCCAGCTGCTGTTTGTCATCCCTGATCTAGTGGACATTTATTGTAGAGCCCTCCAGCCAACAACTGGAAAATGCAAAAATGCATATTAGTCTTAAATAAGCATTGGCCATGTACAAAAAAAATACTAGATCAGACAGTAAGACATCTTTGAAAGTGCTAGAGTCATAGAGCATTCTCTGACTGTGGAACAGTAAGAGAGAAATCCATAACGAACAGCATAGGGAAGAATTTCCTGAAGAAGACAGAAAAGCCCAAACTGTAGAGAGATTGATGGATAGAACCTCTTAATTGTATCAAATAATGAGCAGTAAAAAATGAAAATGAAAAACAGTCACAAGTGGGCAGAAGATGTCAGAATGCATCAACCTGGTATGATTACCATCTAGACTGTAGTAAAGTTGCCAAAAAATGTATGTTTAAAAAGATTGAACGCCCAATAACAATGCCCCAAAGACGAGCGTTTCACAGCAGAGGAGCTAGGAAGGGACAATGAACAGGAAAAGATGCTCAGCCTCGTCAGTAGTAAGGAAACTATGAATCAAGACCACAGATTTTTTTTTTTTTTTAAACAAAAATAAAGTAACAATCAGATTTGGGAGGATGAGCAGCAGTGAGAACACTAACACAGGGCCGTTCAGAGTGCAAACTGTTTTGATCCCTTCGAGAGACAGTTTGGGCTCACCTAGTACTGACGACATGCCCACACCCTGTGTTCGTTTATTCTGCTTGCAGGTGTGCAATGCCCTACCGTGGGCACCGATGTGCTTCCCCTCACTGGTCCCTTTATCCCTCGGGGTGGCCAGGGTCTGTGGGTCACCTCTGCAGCTGTGACCAGAACTCTGCACACCCTCTAGTTTACCTGCAGCGTACCATGTCAGTATCATAATTCTCTACAGATGTCATGGTGTCAGAAAAGTCGGGGAGAGACCGTTCCGTGCGTCACTGGGAGGTGAGCACAGGGGCATTTGTAGCGCGGTTCTGTAATAGCCTAAAGCTCGAAATAACCCGCAAGCCCACACGTGGGGGATGGGGAGACGGCGGTGTATCACGCAGTGAATAACAGAGCCATGAGATCGGATGGACCGTAGCTACGTGCATCCATGTAGATTCAGCTCAGAAAATTGCAGAAAACCACACAGTGTGATATAATTTATATAGGGTTTAAAAACAAGCAAAATAGGGCCGTGTAATTTAGCATTACAAAAATGAGAGGTGTAACTGAAAAATGAAAAAGGAACATGAAACAGCATCCAGAACAGCAGTTCCCCCGGTGGCATGCGAGGTGGCGCGAAGGCAGGGAGGTGCAGCTGGGAGGCTCGGCGGGACCGGGCACACCCCACTTTTTTCAGGTTGGGTGGCGGATGAAATGGTGTTTATTTTACCCTTAGTCTGAGTTCCAGAAGCTTCCTAGGCGTGAAATATAATTTAAAAAAGCCAAAAGTGGTATCTTGGAGACCTCCTTATCACCTCCTTATCAGCTAGGAATCCAATTTGGCCAGATACCACCTATGACCACAAGGCAGTGTATTGTCTTTGATGTCACAGGGCCGTTCAGAGTGCAGTACACTGCCTTGTGTTCATAAGCGGTATCTGGCCAAATGGGATTCCTAACTGATAAGGAGGTCTCCGAGATATCACTTTGGTATTGGCTGTTAGAGGGAGGGTCATAGTTTTAAATGCATTACTAGGAAATAATGAAGGATGGAAATTGATGAGCTACCTGCCTACATAATTAGATAAAAAA